CCCGTCATGAGGGTGTTTGCCTCCCTTCTGGAGTGAACACTAACGCCTGTTGCTCTGGAAACCCGCTTACAGACGGCAGAAACCTAAGAGCAGAGAGAAGTGGAAAAGGCGACCTTGAGCGACAGTGACAAGGTCGAAGCCCCCTTTAATCCTCCTCAGACTCTTTCCCTTCCTCCACGCTGCATCCTCTAACCCCTCCTCATCAACCACATCCTCTAACCCCTACTGGACTGCCAGGAGCCCAGGGAACTCACAGGGGACAAGAATCACCCGCCTGCTGAGCTCCCTGACCTGCTCCCACATGGCCCTGCCTGACCTGCCCAGGTGACCTCCGGGCCTCCCCCTCCCAGAGCCTCGGCCCGAGCCTTCTGCTCCCCCGCAGTATTCTTGGGTCTGCAATGCTCAAGGCAAGCAGCAGGGGGCGCTGCTGGCCTTGGCAGGGGCAGCCACACCTGAGCCGCGCTCACGTCTCCGATGCCCAGCTGTCTGCAGGGGTCAGGACCCCGCCCTAGGAGGAGGTGGGCTGAGCTGGAGCCTGCGGTCTCCGGGTCCAGGCGGCGGGGTTGCAGGCCAGCGGCAGAGTGCGGGGGCAGGGGCTCCCGGGCCGGCCGGGGGGCCGGCGCGCAGGCCCCACCTGGCGAGCACGTGGCTGGAAGCGCAGCGGGGCCTCACTGCGCAGGGGCCGGGACGCCCCTCCCCTCGTTCCCTCCCGGTCTCTGAAGGCCTGTGGGTCACATCGCCGCCTCTTCTTCCCTTCAGCGTGGTTTCAGGAAAGCGGGGAGTCCTCCTCCTGAGCGCACTTCCCCTGGGTGGGCTGCGGCCCCACCACGCCGCGTCCGGCGCGACAGGCGGGGCTTGTCCGTCTGCTGGCCGGCCGGCGCCCTCCGGCCGGGCGTCCACTGACCTGGCCCGCAGGCGAGGCCCGGGCGTCCCGCAGGGCGCCCCCCATCGCGGCTCTGGCCGCGGCAGCCGCGCCACCGAGCGACTGTGGTGGCGGTGTGCTGCCTGCCTGCGAAGCCTGTCACGCTGTGCGCGGTTCATCTGTGTGGTCCCCCCGCCCCATTTCTGATTATTCAATACGAAGAGAGTTTCAGGAAGCTCCTACATACCCGCGGATCAGTGCCTCTGCAAAGCAAATTCTCCACAATTTCACAGACGGCCGCACGGACCCCAACCCGAAGCTGCTGCGCTTTTTTAAATCTTATAAAAGGCACAAATTCAAGTGAACTCAGTGAAAACAAGTCATCTGGCAACGGAGGCTCTTGTAAAAACCACTTGAAAAGCATTGGATTTGGGAGGCGTCACTGTGTCTGGGTGATAGGAGCCACTACTTTCAATGGTTGTTGATGACCCCGTAGAGCTTTAAAATGCATTTCTATGAGAAAAAGAATGGTGTCTTGTGTGTGTGCGCGTAACTCTTAGGACACGTGTTTTAGAAGCCTCAGGAATCAAGTTGGCCTTGTGGAAAGGGGGGGGTTTCCTCGCCGTTTCTTCCCCCCACAGTTCGCTCATTTCCAATGCATCGCCGCACGTGTGTTTTTCTGGTCCAGAACGTGCCTGCCGCCCCTACAGGGTCACATGACACCGGGTCACCACGCTCCACGCAGCGTCGCTCCCCGCTGGCCCTACGCGGGTGCATATTCTTCTTGAAGTGCAGATGTGGGTTCTAAAAAGTTAGTCACACATTACACTTTAAAGAAGTGGGGCCCAAGCGGATCTGTAGTGTTAACAAAATGCCACAGGCATACCCAGGTCCTTCTAGAACAGCGTCCCCGATGCTCACAGCCGCGTGGGGCGCAGCGTGCCTGACTCCGCCGGATAGCACTGCCCGCCGTACGTGATTCAGGCGTCAACCCGGGAAAGTGTCTCCACCAGGAGGTGGCCGGCTAAGGCCTTCTCCTTCCTGACTTCTGGCTGTTTTCTAAGCGTTGGCGTTCGTGCCCCTTGCCCTGGTTTTTAAAACAGTAGGTCAGCCTTAGGAAGGGGCGCCGAACACGGTTCGAGCTACCCGCTCAGGCACAGTGGGACGCGTTCGGGGCGAACGCACACTTGTTCCTGCCACTGCGCTGCTGCCGCTCCTGGTAACTGCGCTGCCCACCCAAGGGGCACATGGGGGCCCTCGCCCGCACCCCACCCGCCCTGCGGGCAGTGACTCTGTCCTGGGAGCCTCATCCGCGGTCCTACCCCAGCACAGCTGTGGCTCCCTCTCGCTCCTTCCTTCTTACTGCTCCAGCTGCCTGGAGATTTGCTGGATTAAAACACTGAGGTGCTTACGGCTCTACTCACTAGGTAGAGGGAAACATGCCGGACGATTTTTCTGTTCCTTCTCAGTGACCTCTCATTTCTCTGCCTCTGAAATCCCTATCCATCCATCCATCCGTCCATCCGTCCATCCGTCCATCCACCCATCCATCCATCCATCCATCCGTCCATCCGTCCATCCACCCATCCATCCATGTGGAATGCCCACTGTGAGCCCCAGGTTACCAGGAGTCCTGCCTCCACTTGACTTATGTTCTAACGGGGAAGACGAACAAGGCAACAGTTACGCTAAAAGGATAACACGTAGTGTGGTGGGGAAATACGGGGCACAGTGGGAGGGTCCGGATGGGTAGCGGGGAATGATTCCCAAGAGGAGAGACATTCATGATGAAGCTTGTAGGAGAAACACCAACAGGTCAGTTAATTATTTCAGCAGTTTTTACTGAGCCCTGCAGCCTGGGCGCGGTGGTCGCTGCCACCGGCTCAGGCAGGGTAAGCAGGGCGGACCTGGGCTCGCTCTTGGGGGTCCATCCCGCCAAGGCGTCAGCCCGGGCTGCGCCGGGGCAGCGGGGCCATGTCCAGGCAGAGGAGCCCCGGGCAATGGTCCACAGGGAAGGAAGGCCCTGGTGAGTTAGAAACCCCGAAAATTACACGTAACCAGACTGCACCCCTCAGCCCGTGGGAGGCCCTTCAAAGAGGACGCGCGGTTAGAGTGTAGCAACTGCTGGGCTCTCATTTGCTGTGCTGAATGCTCATTGAATCCCTCGCCAGAATCTTGAAAGAAAAAGAAACGCCACGTGTAGTCACCCCATCTCAATCACTTGGAAATCGTTCCCTGTTCCAGCAACAGTGCCATGACTAAAATGGCCTCCCTGGGCAGCGGCGGGGGGCACGGAAGAGCAGGTCTGTGAGGACAAGAGCCGCGCCCCGCCGGCCCAGTCCCTTGCGTGAGTCACAGGGGCGAGAATTTCAGAGGCAGGGGGAGGCTTGCCAAGAAGAGCGGCCGACTTGAAAAAATTTCCCTACATGTCCGACGTCAGGATCAGGAGACCAGACAATTGGGCAAGAAAGAATGAATATCTTATCTATAGTCTGAACTTCTTCCCAAACCACCTTACGGTAAATTACTTACGTGCAGTTTCTATCCCAATCGCTGAGCTGGAGATGAGCGGCACTTGGCAGGCACGGCGTGCAGTGCGGCGAGTCTCGCGCGGTTCTGCCAGTGCCGCGGAGAATGGCGGAGCCCTGCTGCTGGCTCGCTTTTGGTCATAACGTGTCCATGTAGGGTAGTGCTTTGCCATTGAATATTGGCTAAAGTCTATGTACTTTGTAGCGAGCCCTGTACATTTCCCCTAAGATTGGAGCTCCCTGAAGACCCAAGCCTCCTGCCGGCACTCGTTCAGAGTGTTCTGGAAAGGCGAAGTCCTATGGGCTTGCTGAGTGGAATCAACGTCTATGACTGGGGATCAATATGCTGCTCTCAGTTCACCACCCTCCACGGTGACAGAGCTACATGTCCAGGGGCTGGGCTCCTCTCGGACGGCCCTATGCTACTCACCATCGCATCAGAAATGCATTCTATCAAAATCTGTTTAAGGGGCGTGTGCCGTCTCCTGCAAAGGGTGTGTCCTGCCTGATCCCGCCCGGCTGGTGTTTGTCACTCGGCACGTTACGGAGCCCCGTCCCAAACAGGGCCCGGACAGCACGCGAGCTCTGGGCGTGCTGCTCGTGACGGGGCCTCGCGTCCGTCCGCCAGGTGACACCGTGCCCGTGACACCGCTGGCTCTGGGGTTGCAGCCGAGGCTGCCACACGTGCCTGCCACAGAACAGCTTCCCAGACGTTGTCTGGAGCGCGTGGCAACGTGTCCTGCTGTGCTGTGACTTCTCCTCGGGTCTGCTGGCTTCCCCGGCAGTGGCCCGACCACCCACGCCTCCCTAGGTGGGCGAGGGGGCCGCTGGGAGTTGCGTTTCACTGACTGCACACCTCAGCCTTACCCAGGGTCATTGGCAAAACAGGATCCCAGCCCGCAACTTCCCAAGTCACCTCTGGTCATCACTGGGCTCCTGGCCATTCGAAGGGATGATAAACGACCTTCCCCCCACTGCCCCACCCCCCACAGGCGGGCAATTGGTGAACCGGATCAACAGGCAGATTCGGCTGACCTGACCCGAGTGTGGCCCTTCCAATGTGTTTGAACCTCATGCACACACGGCTTTAACATACGCAAACGCTCTCGGGAACCGGCGTGGCAAGGCTCCCCATCAGAGGAGGAGCGAGGAGTGTGGGAGTGGTTCATGGTGACCTTGACCGCATGGAGGCCGATGCTGGAGGGCAGCGAGGACGTGCCGGGTCGGGCGGGCCTGGGGGGACCCCCACGCGCAGCAGGAGTCCCCGGCCGAGGGCGGCCCGAGATCCAGACACTCGCGGGCAGACTTGTGGATCGTAACTGGCCTGTCATTCAGCGGCTTCCACGGGCACCTTCTAACAGAAAAGATGGCTTCCCCCACGAGCCATCACAGACACCATTGGTCGGAGGGTTTTCGTCTGTCACCTGCGCAGACAGGAGACATACGTCCCTTTACTACGGGATGTGCTGTCGGTGAGGTTGACCCTCCGTGAGCCAGAGCGAAGACGTAGGAGTCTCTGAACTTGAACCGATGAAGGAACATGCCCTGAGACTGGGGAATTCAAAGGGTTCACAGACCGATCGATTGGGAAGAAAGGACAACCAGGTAACTTTTCCATAAAGAGCATATTGTGTTGATTTATTATAGAATGCAGTTAAAAAAAATATTCTGAGGTTAGCCTCTCCAGTTTAAAAGCACTTAACTAGGAACACTTGAACAGCTACGCAATGGTCTCCCCCGCACCTGCCCTGCCCCCCACCAAGTACTGTAAACAGGGTTTTGAGAACATTCAATTTCTTGATGTGAACAATCGAATTTACTCGCGTCTTAAAGAGAACCATCCAAACTTCCAAAGCATGCATTGTTACTTGGCATTAGGTATTTCAAAATGACAAACTTTGTTATGGTATTTTATTTTAAGGCCAAAATATAATACCTATTTACCAGACGTATACGTTACAACTAGAAAAAAATTACAGACGTCAACGAGAGTAACAACCCCATCAGGAGGGAACGGGAAAGGCACTGTGACCCTCATGCCACCGCACGCCCCTGTCCCCACCGCGTGCTTCGAATCCAAGTGCCGTCCAACCTTTCGATGGTGTTTTCGACAACGTTCAGTCACAGGTAGGTTACTGCGTCTCACACTATTCTTCCACTGCCCTAATTTTTTTCAACCAAGTGCACAACAGGTAGGAATATACGCGATCAGCTTTATTTACAAGTTTATCTCGCTGTTTTGGTGGGGTAGAAAGAATAGGGTATCCTAACCAACGATGCCCAGGAAAGGCTTTTGGCCAGGACTCATTATGAACCACATTGTGAAAGGAACAGGTGAGATCGAGTCCAACCCCGGACGCCTAAGCTGAAATTTCTCACCCACTAAAAGTTGGCAGTGAAATTCTCTTGCATAAGCGAAACCCAGCCTGGGGTTTCAGACGGACCCCTTAGAAAGAGCACAGGCGCTGCGACGCCCGGACAGGGCGCGGAGGGGCGCGTTCCAGGCAGAATTCCACGTGTGCTGTTGTAAGGGGTCGTGACTCGGGAACGGTGCTAGTTTCCAAACACTCTCCTATCTTCCCAAAACATGCAGAACGACGAGGACGTAACTCGATATACGAACAAGGGTTAGTGTCGGAAATCAGTAACGCACATGCACGAACACCAGGACACGGGGGAGAAAAAACCAAACGCTACGGTTTCCACGCTGGCTGGGGTCTCGCCGCCTTCCTGCCTCAGACACGCCGTGGTCGTGGGCGCCTCTCGCGCCGGGAGGGGGCAGCCCCGCAGGACTGCGTGGGCGTGGGCCCCGGGCCCACGCATCAGCCTGCCCTCGGCCCAAGCAGCACCCAGCAGGAAAGAACAAGCACAGAACACTACGGTTACCGGGTTTTCTCGAGACGCGCCCTAATGTCCCCGCGCGATCACCCCAAACTCAGTGACGGGCCCGGGACACCCAGGGCCGCGGACATTGGTGCGCAGGGTCAGAACCGGGAGGCGAAGCCTTGATCCTCTTCGGAGCAACACGAACTGGAATCCCCGCCACCGCGATCATGGCCGCCACCTCCAAAGCCGTGACCAGCCACTCTCACAGCCAAAGGTTCCTCCCCGTGCGTACAACTCGGGATGCTCCGCCCGGGAGCCCGCTCAGCTTAGGTGGAGGGGCGTGTACTCCGGCCTCCTGGTCTGGATGATCTTGGGCTTGGGTCTCTTCGTTCTTTCCGCCTCGTCCTCCTCCTCGTCCTCCTGGTCGCTCTCGCACACGTGGACGACCACGCTCGGGGTGGTGTCTGTCGCCGCGTGCAGCTCGTACTTCTCCCCTGGGGAAAGAGATTCGCTGCAGGGTGACTCGGGTGAGCGCGCCGCCCGGCGAGGGCCCGCGGGGAGGCACCGGGGTCCGCGCAGCGGCTTCTGAGCGCGGGTATGGGGACCCGGGACCCGGCCGCCGGACACACCCAGGGCTGCCGGTCTTCGGTGGAAGGAGCGGCAGCAGGGCCTCCTCCTACCCTGCTCTCGGTGCCCTCTGCACCCGGGAGGTGCGTTTGTCATCCAAAAGGGGGTGCATTTCTGGGTCGCACTGGGGAGCCCGGGATGTCGCTGTCACTGTGTTTGGGAAGGGCCCCAGCTCTGCCCGGGCAGAGGGCGGCGGGCGGTCAGAGGGACCCGCGGCACCGTGGCCGGGAAGCTCTTTACCGTCCCTACGGGCCTCCTGTCAGTCACAACCCAGGAAGTGGCGGCACAGGACCCGCCGGCAAAACCTCCGCCACCTCGGAGACCACAACATGCAGCCAGAATAGGAGCCACGTTATTCACCCCCACTGTTACGTAAACTGCTTTTATGGTGCCTTTGCTCTAAAAAAAGCTTCTCAAGTGAGCCTTGTGCAGGGCAGCGGCGGATCCCAAGGCGTGGGGTTCCTGGCAGTGTTTCTCGCTCTGGAGCCGCCTGACCCGCCGCCCTGGGCCCTGCTGGTCACCTTGGCCGGAGCGGCCAGGAGGAGCACGCGCGTCCTCAGACTGGCCACATCCACCGTGACCTTCACGCCACCCACGGCTGGCAGGAGGCATGTGAGCCTTGCTTTCCGCCACAGAGGAAATTCCTGTCTGGGCCGTGTTTCAGAAATGTGACCATTTCAATAGGACATGCTGATGGCCCAAGAAATGAACACCCTCAACCCAGAGGGGCATCAGGTGGCTGATCAGGAGGAGATGCGTGGGGGTGGGCGGCCGGGCTCAGTGCTGAGCCCACCTGCTGCCGGACTGGGCAGGACGGGGCTCAAGCCTCTTTATCCCAAGGCCCCCTCACACCTGTGTCCTCACACAAAGCCTCCATCCGACAGGACAGGGCTGCAACCGCTTCCTCGTTTCTAAAACGCACGAGTGGAGCACTGCCCCTGCGCCAGGCCCGGCCGGAACGGCTTCCTGCAGGGTGGGCGCAGGGCCGCTCCCGTCCCCCCAGGATAGGGCCCGTTTCCTGGAGGCGGCCCTGCGGGGGCAGGGCCGGGCGCCTTCTGCACTCTGACCCACAGCTCTGCCTCCGACCCTGAGGAGGGCCGGCGAGAACCGCAGCGGGGACAGAACGCCCCTCGCGGAAAACTCCCAAGGGCAGGGGCTCTGTTTTCCTTTTCCAAAGTTCAACGGCTCATCCCCACCCGCAGCGACAGGACCTGGGGTCTCCGGCCACCCACACGGGCTGCGCCCAGTGGGTGAGGGGGTGGAGTCTCGTGTGCAGGCCGGGAGGGGTCGTGGGGGTGCGGGTCCCCAAGAGCAACCGCAGTCCCTGCCACACTCCTCCCTAGGGACTGAGGCCAGGGGCGGGCGCACACGCCCCAGCATGAGTTACACAGGGAAAGAAGCCGTGGACGGAGAACGTCCACGCTTGCAGCAACCGCACGGGGCTGAAAGGGCGGGGGAGGGGCGCCACGTGGCCCCGGTGCGGGCGGGCACCTGTGTCGGGGGCCTTCCGCACCATCCCTCATCTCCCCGCCGCCCCCCGGCCCGGGAGCCCCGCTTACCTGGCCCTAGCTTGGAGATGGCATATAAGAGGTCATAATTTATGACGGGGGTAGCGTCTTCCACTTGTTTCCAACCAACGGGAGGAGAGGCGGGAGGAGAGATCAGAAACTGCTTGTCCGGGTTTGGCGGGGCCAGGTGCGAGCTCCCTATGTGCAGAGTCTGGGGAGAGAGAGGACAGGCGATGCAGACGCGGCGCGAAGGACGGGCCGGGCCGGGCGGCGGGCCGGGGGTCGGTGGGATGGCCGGAAGGGCGTTCGGCCCCGGCCGGAGTGGCCGTGCTGGGCGGGCCGCCCCCCGTCACCGCCCGGCTCAGGGACTTGCAGGCGATCGCACTGGGCCAAGAGAGAGGGACATGGACAGGCGTGGCTTTTGCATAAATGGAGAAACAAAGCCACTGGCATCCAGGTTGGAGCGAATCTGGAAGTCCTTCCCCTCCCGCTCCTCACACCAGAGGCCTAGTGGAAGCTCCAGAGCCCAGGTGACAGGGGACAAAGCAGGGACTGCACAGCGGCCAACGGCAGCCTCGAAACTCCCTTTCTCCAGGGCTCTGAATCCGATGCCCAAAGAGCGGAAGGAAAAAACATCCCTCTTCCAGGAGACAGAAAAATAACAACAGGGAAAAGTAGCCTAGGATCCCAGTGTGAGCATAGAGGCTCTACTAGTGAGTAGAGGGCCGTCCAGAAAGAGCTCCTCAGTGGGTGGGGGTGGGGAGGACTGGGCAGGAAGGAAAAGGGCGCATTGACATGAACAACAGGGTGGTGCTTGTGGGGGCGGGGAGTACAAGGGGGTAAATGGTAGTAAGATTTTTTTTTAATATTCCCAGTTTGGCGCCCCCCTCCGCCCGCAATTTCCACAATGCATTTACTTGAATAATCAGAAACAGTCATGCAGGGACTACACAGTTACTACACGAAAGCAGCCAAATGCAGAGAGAAGCATATTCATAGCTAAGCATCCCAAGTCAAAACCTGTACCACAAACACCACTAGGGGGCGGGGCGGGGCGGGGCGTCCCAGCGCTGAAATCCCGCTTGTGGGCCTTTCCTGCGGCCTAGAAGCTTCCCTAGGGGGCTGCTCCCATGTGGGCGTGGGGAACAGGGCCCCAGGGGGCTCACTTTAACCAGGGAGCAGCCCTTCCGAAGCTCCTTCCCTTCCCCCACCAACCCGTCACATCGTCACGTGGGACTTTGAGCAGGAGAAAAAAGCCGACCCAGCTCACGGCACTGCTGCCTGGGCTGAGGCTGCGCTGCGCCCCACAGGGTGAGCGGGCTCCGCCTGCAGCCTCGGGCAAGTTCCTGGAGGCCAACCGCCCTGGGCTTGGGGCCCGAGAGCCCCCATCCCCCGCGTGCTGCGCCTTCCCCGTATGCCACCCAAGAAGGCTAGAAGTCACTTTCAAATACACCCTGATGCTTCCTGAAAATAGGTGGGGCAGGGAAAACTAGAGCGTGAATTCTGCCTTTCTCGGGAGGAACGCTTGCAGCGTGACCACTGTGTAATGTTATGACTGTATAAGCTCCTCCATAAACAAAGGGGAGAAGCAAGCAAAGCAAGCAGCTCCGCGCACCTGAGCAAAGTACAGTTTCATCTCCTTGCCCAGAAACTCGGTCTTGTGCAGCCGCAGTCTGGCGTCCGCTGCGGATAACGGGTTGCTGAAGTTTATTCGGACTCGTTTGAAGCTCTTAAAATACTGAAAGGTGATGTCCTTGTCGTAGGTCCTAAAGAGGGATTCGAATTTGGCCTGGAAAACAAAAACAAAAGGAGATAAAATTTACCTGCGTGCGACCCTTGACTAGGTGTGTCCGTGACGGTTCTGACCGAGGCAGCGGGTCATTGGTCACTTCCAGAACAGCTCACTTGGTGGGGAAGACAGCCCGAGCCTCTGCCCTCTCAGGAGACCCTGCGTCCCGCCCCTGTAGTACGAACACAGATGACTTCCTAAGAAAGGACGGGGCCGACTGAACTCACTCGGCAGCTTACATGCTTCTGTGATCACAGAAACGTGCTTTTTAAAGGAGAATGAGCGTCTGCACAGTGGGCTCTGGTCGCCGGCGGTGCCTGCGGCCTGACAGCGCCTGAGTGCGGTGGCCCCCGCGCCCAGGGAGCTGCACCGGCACCACGCACCTCCGGACCTCGCTCCCTGTCCAGCAGGCATGTCTTTGGGGATTAAAAGCTGTGCAGCTGATTTGAGAAAACCACTGACTTGGAAAACAATGAAGTTATTAATAAGAAGCCTTGCACTTTTTTAGCATGAAGGATGGAGGTTAAAAAAACCTGGCTATTGTTTTCTCACTCGGCCTGTTGCTTTCTAGCTCTCCGATACAATGCCGGTCTAGGAGGCACCGCACTGCAAGTGCGCCCATTCCTGCACGCTGGCTTTGACATACGTGCACGCTGGCTTTAACATAGCGTGACCTGGCTAGTGACAATTCGGAATGCAGCACAAGCTCTCAGCACCGAGATGCCGAGGTCTGGATTCAGGAGAGAGCTCATCAGCCGCTGGGCGGGCTCCGAGGAGGGCCCCCCGGGCCGGAGGTGTCTGTGGGGAGCACAGAAGTGGGCACTGGGCGCCCGCTGCAGTCTCTCGGGATCCCAGCCGGACAGGGCGTCGATGGACAGATGGCGGGAGCCGGGAGGACAACGCACGGCCTGTCGGTGGGGGCCGTCCGGCTGAGGAGGGCGTGGGGCAGCGCGCCCAGCACACAGGGGAGTGGGCAGGGAGGCCCGGGCCCCAAAGCTCCGGGAGCCCCGCAGGAAGTCCCTGCGGTGTCCCAGGGTGTCTGCGCAGGGGAGGGAGGCTTCCAACAGAGAGAGAGGAGCGTCTTCCGGGACGCTGGGTGCTGTGAAGCGGAGGGACGGGCCTCCGGGGACGCGTCCGCGCCGTCTGGCAGGGCTGCGAGCAGGTGCGGTGTGACCGCCACCGGGTGACTCACCAAGCAGGTTGTTAAGGGGGGACGCTCACAAACTTTCGCTCTTTGAATTCCCTGGCTTCTCTTTAGTTTATGGCAACGTCTGTGACGCCCCTGTGAGGCCTCTGCAGAGGCAAAGGAGGAGGGCGGCGGCAGAGCACACACTAAGGCCGGTGCCGGCCGCCCGGAGCTCGGGCAGGTTCCTGGCACAGGTGCCCACATAACTTTGGCATCTCGCATGACCTCATCAGCAGGCACTGCGACCAACTGTGCAGTTTTGAAGTTATGATTCATAATTTAGGAGGGATGACTTTGATGGATATTTTTAGAGCACAAGTCAGGGCTCGGGACGAGAATGCGAGCGAATGTGCGTCGGCTTTTACACCCATGTCACTGCCACACAGTTCTCCTCCAGAACACTCACTCGTCCCTGTCACTGGTGCCTGGCCGCCGTAGCTGTCGGATGGCATTTCTGCTTTGCTAAATTAGCAATGTTCCTCACTTAAGGTTACTATTAAATACATGGTGTACTTTTAAACATAGAATATGCTCTAGTATCTAGTTCAAAATCTACAGCCTGGGCTAGCAGGGATAGTATTTATAATTATGAGGTTAAACTTGATTTAGAAAAAAGAAACCTTCACACATCCGATGGGGCGTTGAGTATGAAGCACCTCACATGAACACCCCCCGCCCCGCCCCTGGCAATGGAGCGTTCAGAATTCATTCACATACAACACTGGGAAAGACCCAGCTCGCCGGGCTGGTGCTGATGAAAACCTTCCATCCTAATCAAATGAAGAAGAAGATTATAGCAATGAAAGTGACTAATTATATTAATCACCAACACTGAGAGCTGCTTCCCAGGAGGTACGCGTACCCCACACTTAAGTTATTTATCCAGTTTTATTATTTGCTGTGGCTGCGTTTTTCTCTTAGCTGAGAAATCCGGAATTCCTGCACACACGCAAATACCTTTACTTCACTCACTTCCTCAGATAAAATCCAGTCACTCTGAACGCTCGGTGCCAGAGTGAACGTCCCGTCCGCTGGCGCCTCCTCCTGCAGCGCCCGCCCGGGCGGACAGAGCGCGGAGCCTGCCTCGCCGGCCAAGGGATCCGGAGGGTTTCACACCCTGAGAACTTTATTAAAATCCCTCATAGTTAATCCCGCCGGAGACAGCTTTTGATTTTTAAGGCTCAGAGTATTTTGGATTACTTCAAAAACCCCCAACCCCCAAGAGATCCACATGCCGTCCTCGCTGCCCCACCCCCTCCGCCAATGTTTCAGTCAATAGTCCCAATTAACCTAATGCTTTGAAAACTCTCACCAATCACATTATATAAGACGCCTTACCCTCGTTTCACTTTCGCTGAAGACATCACTGTTGGCCACACAGGCAACCAAGGAGCTAAAACTGTAGTTAAAATTTCTAAAATGCATCTTGCTTGCTACCAGGGAGCGGGCTAGAGACCCACGCGCTCAAGCGCGAGAGCGAGGCTGCTTTCCCGGCGGGCGAGCGGGCGGGCGGCTGGGGGTTCTCCGCGGAGCCGGGGCTTATAAGGCGCCGCGGCCGCCCAGCCCCCTCAGGGACAAGCGCCGCTTCCAGCGCATCCTGTTTGGACAGCGAATTCCTGAGTCAAGTCCTGCAAGCTCCAGCAGACAGGGACAGAGTGTGAGTTTCTGCTGGAAAGAGGTGACGTCAACACCTTAGTCATTTTCCCTATGCTAATTAGCGCTGCCCGGGCAGGATGGAAAAATCTGCGAGGTTCTCTGCAGCTGCCTCCCCGGCTCCTGCAACATAGTTTCCACTGGTAGTAATTCCACTCGGCACCCAGACCCCGCGCCCGCCCGCTCAGCGGGACGACCCTTCCTAAGACGGAAAATGTTACAACAGACACGGAGGAAGGGCTGCAGTAAACAGTCATTCGCCTCCGGGGCTCGGGGCTCGCAAGGTTTTGGGAAGCCAGGACGCCTGCCGGCCAGCGGTTTGATCCCTGTTATTTCCTGGGTAACAAAGTTTCATAGGGGGTAGTAGGGAAGACATCTGAAGTGTCTTGGTCAGTGCACTCGGTTTTAAAGAGAAAAGTGGAACTCGCTGTGAAATATGCCCCCCCCCCAATTGAACTTTATTGGGTGAACATCCTCAGGAGCATTTGCACTGCCCAGCGACAACCACGGAGGGAAGCTTGTGCAGTCACAGAATTTCCACTGGAAAACTTCATTATTGAAATTTGAGAACTAGGAATATGCAACACTTTGACCGTTTTGTAGCAGCTACTGAATTCAGAGAAAGCTACAATAACATTTTAGAGAATCTAGTGTCTGAAGTGGAGAAAAACACCCAGAGGTCCTGGGGCTGTGAGACTCACAGACCCTTTCCTTTTTCCAGGGAAGGGAGATAAAATGGAAGGAATGCGCAGGCGGCTGGGAAGCTAGGCCAGCTGGCCTTCTGCAGGTGGGAAGTCTAGTCCCTGAAGCACCTGCACTGCTGGACCTCCCAGGCCCTTGACTAGTTTAGATCCCCACCTCGGTCCCCACCTGGACCCTCCCTGCCCCGCCCCCTGCCCCGTGCGGGTACCCCCCCTCCCCGTTTCACCATCACCTAAAAGCGTTCTCCAGCCTAGAGGCACAGGGGCACCTTTCAAGCTTCCGAAAGTTATACCATTCACTTTTAAAGAGCCAGCCAATAATAAAAAGAATACATGCAGTGGAAAAAAACAACCCAGAACATTAATTCCCCTAAAAGAAGGAAAAGCGAAGTCTTGGATGAATGAGTGTTGCTTAATTTCAGTTGCCTACTGGAGTTACGTAAGAAACCAGCTATGATGTTTGCTTTGCTAAATCACCCAAAACTCCCCACCCGAAAAGAGCTCCGTGCGTATATCCTAAAACACGTAGGAACACCGTGAGCGGAACGGGGTGCATAGGGCACCCGGGGGCGACAGGCACAGCGGGCGGTGCTTGGGCGGGGACCGGGTGCTGGCGCTGCCGGGCCAAGTCTGCAGAGCCAGACGCAGCGTGTCCTGGGGGCACAGGAGACCCCGGTGGGGGGCGCTGCAGGGGGTGTGGGTGCGGGAGGTGTTGGCGAAGGGGAAAGGGGGAGGGTGGGCGCACCAAGCTGCACTGCGCCCTTGGGGGGCGGGGCCTCCTCTGGGCACCCCCCCAACCCCTTCCCCTCCCCCAGTCCACGGTGGTGGCAAACAGCCACCGGCGATCAGAGGAGGGAGAGGAGGCGAATTTCACTGACCCCTCTCGCAAAACATGCTGATATGAAGCTCCAGTTCAGGGGTGGGGCGAATGTGAACATTTCTGTTCGCCCGAGACAACAGTGCTGAGCTCGCCCAAATTTGCAATGTTGGTTTCAGTACGGTGATGAAAAGAAAAGAAGTCAGGTATTTGAAGATTGACCACCTGTCCTTGCACATAGAAACAAATGATAAATGTCTGATTTTTCACTGGGCTGCCCGCAAGTTTAACAGAATGAGTAATTTTGTACCTGCCTTTGAAGTGACTTTAAGCACCGTCTGAATCAAATTCGGCGAACCCGAGGGCTTCCATTTTTACATCAGGGGAAGGGGCTCAAAACGGGGGTCAGCTACAGGGAGGGTGGATCGCTGTCTGGCAAAAATCACCCGCCCCCAAGGGCCCCAGGGCCCTGCACGGAGGGAGCGAGCTCCCCAGGTCTGCCAGCGCAGGCTCTCGCGCCTCCGGGGGGCAGGTGTGGCGCGGATGCGGACGCGGGCTTTCAGCGGGCCAGGCTGAGTCGCGTGGCTCCCTCCTGGTGCCGCGGTGCCCTGGCCATGGGCACAGACACCTGTCCCCGCACCCA